TATTTGCTAATATTCTTAATCAAAAACATTGAATTATATTTACCATAGAATTATCTGATAAATACTCAACATTATGTTCAATTTGCGATCAATGATAATCCAATAGCATAGTAACCTGTAAAAGAAGAAAATAACACTTAACCTATCAAACGATCACCATATATCCAGAATATAAATTACAGACTTACCCAAGACATATGGAGCTGGATCATAAATTCATTGAATTTTCTCTACGAGCTCAGCCTCACCTCTTCTCTGCTATTGGGAGCCTTCTCCTCCTCTCTAAATGGGCACACTTGGTTAAGAATGAAACCAAAGTCTGGACGCATGTTATTGGTGCTCATGTATTTCGGACTGAACGACCAATTGGAAAGAAAGTTTCAAGAAATCTTCAGATGTTGTTGTTCCAAAACGTGACAAATGAATATTCAGTTCCATCGAGTGCAGGTGAGGGGGTCATAATAGCAGATCCAAGCACACCAGTAATGAAAGTATAAGCACTCTCAGTGTCGCTGACACGGAATAGGGTCTCTAGATCTTCAGCCGTGCATGAATCTTGATAACCAGATATGAGGAAGGTATCAAACTCATCCCTAAGAAGGGGAATCTTTATGTCATCTGTGAGAGATTGTTCGAGGAATGTAGCAAGTTCATCAGGATCCGGGAGCGATGGTTTAGCCCTTTTCCTTAACCTATCAAGGACCTGAACACTAGTATCAACTATAGTTCATATGGAGGAAGTAAGGTTAGAATTAGGTAATAACAACTAACAATCACTCCTCTGTAACTTACCTTTTTCATAAGGACGTTTATTTACTGAAGTGAGTCGAAAGGGAAAATACAAGTTAGTCAACATGCTATAGTAACATTCTCTCTATGACGAGCAAGGCATTATTAGGATGTCATCATATTACTCTGTCTACTCTACCCTATGTACACACTACTCTATGTCCCATGTTACGAGATGTAAACAATAAGTGCTTCCCAATGAAAAAACTTTGGTAGGTTAATAGCCGGAAACAAACAACACAAAAATAGGATTAAATTCGTGATATGAGAAAGCTGTGCTTTTCTATGTATGAAACTCATATTACTACAGTGACCTTTTCCCATAAAACTGTGTAAAAACTGACTTAGTATCATTCTCCCAACAGACTCATAATACCATACTCTGTCTACTCTACCCTATGTACACACTACTCTATGTCCCCAACGCCGAGTCACAAAGTCGTTACCTGTCTGAGGTGCAGTTAGCCTTCTTTGTAACTCTTCTACTTGTTTCAATCGGTCTTCTTTCATCCCCTCCAGACGCTTCTTCTCCTCTTCAGCTTGTCCCTCTCCTCCTTCCATTCGGCTCGCTGCGTCTCCGTCCCCCCCTTCGCGACTTCCTCTTAAGCTCCGCCAACCACTGTCCGTCCTCCCCCTCGTTAAACGTCTTCAGCTCGTTCTCCGCCTTTTCTAGCTTTTCCTCCGCTTTCGCCAACCCCCGTTCGATTTTTTCAACGCTTGCCTTGTTTTCGTTGTTCGTTTTGTTTTTGATGGGAAGATGCTGCTGCGCGATGTAATCTAATATACCAATGCCGATTTTTACGTGGATCCTAACATCGGTAACCTGCCCGGACATTTCACGTGGATCGTAAATCACGTGTTCGGACATTTTTCTTCGCCATGGCTAGGTTACTATAGGTTTAGGCAGTGTCACGGGACAGCTTTGGACATTTTTGATTTATAATCATGATTTTTTTAATAGTACAAGAGTTTGGACACTTGGACATTTATTTGGACGTTTGGACAGTCGAAAAAGTGCTTGGACATCTAAAATGTACAACACTGGGTTTAGGGTTAAGGTTATTACATAGCATATAGCAGACAGGAGCATAATATACAGTAAAATTTTGCAAGGAACATTTTTTGTTAGAACACAAATGACTGTTTCATAAGTGAAATTTAAGATACAAGCTATTTTGAGGTATTTGAGGATTTTTTGCTGTTCTAGGTGTGTTTCGGTATAATTTAACCACTCATGCTTGGCAAATTTCCTTTAAACTTCACATACTTTAAGGTAATATCGGTACGGTTAAGAAATTGATGAAATTTTTTCGGATTAATTAACTTTTCTTCTGTCAACTGTGTCAATTGTTGATGCATTTCTTTGTGGTGATGACATCCTCTGGGAGGGAAGAAGTCCGCGAGGCTGGAAAGCAACAAGTGAAAGGCAAGAAACGTTAGTGATAGAAAATGAAATGACAGCGAGAAAAGCAGTATAAGTTTGGTATATTCGAATGCAGTCATGGTACTTTACCCTGTTCTTCGCCATTAACTTTATTAATTAAAGTTCGAGATTTTTTTGCTGGTCCATATGGCAATACAAATAGTCCATCCTTTTGAGTAAGACCCTATTGTTCCCAATTATTTGGATATCCTCGTCAAGTTCCAAATAATCTTTTTTCTCCCGTAAGAATTTAAGAACATCAGCTCGCTCCATTTATTAACTTCGAGTTATGAAAGGGGAGGGGGTCGGATACTTCTGCGGAGCACTGTATTTTCTAAGTGATATGTCAGACATGCGCTTAAGCTCTGCGAGTTCTATAATAAAGATTCAGAGAATGTTAAGAAATCCTGTTCTGAATGCTTACGTTATCACTTTCAACTTTATAAAGCTGAATGTTCTAGTGATATTAATAGTAATCCTTTTTATGGATATCATAATTTAAAGTTGTGTTGAAATTTTGAGATCTACGTAATATAACAATGTTTGTCCACCTTTCTCGCTAATAGTCATAGTAATACACACGAACATGAGCGACGACAATAGTGGTGAAACGGACAATAACAGTGAAACGGATATCAACAATAGCAGCGAAACGAATATCAACAATAGCAGTGAAACGAATACCAACGACCATGTTGACGACAAAATAGAATGCGCCTCCCCAGCTCCATCTACACCAGAATCAGTCGTAATTTCCACAACTCTGATACCTTTAACCACAGAAACCAGAAAAGAACTAAAAGCTAAGATACTAAGACAAGTGGAATACTACTTCAGTACAGAGAACTTGAGAGAGGATTATTATCTGAATAAACTTCGTTGGAGTACTGATGAAGAATGTATCCTTTTTTGTTAATTCATTTTCTGTATGTCGCTAATTTACTTGTCAAGTTTCAAAAATTGCTATTGTTGAGCGAATTGGATTTTATCGATTGGTTTTTACGTGACGATGTCTGAAGTCAAATTCATAATTCTCTTCTTTGATCTATTCATATTTTATTGTGTCTGATGATATATTTATGAATTTTTGTTCACGATAGTTATTATCTCTTGACTATGATTTTTTGTATTAAAAAAGGGGTCCCAATTGACGAAATTTGTGGTTTTCAAAGGATGCAAAAATACACAGATCACGAGTTAATTGTGGAAGCGTTACGAGAATCGTCGAAGCTGTTGGAAGTAAACGAAGACGGGACTTCAGTGCGACGATCTCCGTCCGATCCATTGCCATTGCCTGAAGAAGTTTTGAATGGACATTTATTCCGATCAGTGTACATGGTGGATATTTTGGTTTTTCATATTTCGTTTATTTCATTTTATAAACCCTGTGATAAACGGTAAATGATTACAATAATAACAATATATAGAAAGGATTCACGATTTCTACATCTCTTAATGAAATCGAAGGATTCTTAAAAGAAAACAATATTGATTATAAGGAAATTAAAAGAAGACTCAATGATGAGAAAGAATTTAAGGTTTTATAATTGATTTTCTGTTAAAATTCTTTTCATCTTTTGTATGCTGTTACTGCTGTTGTAACTACGATTTTTTTGCGAAATTTTTTTCGGTATTCAGGGCTCTGTGTTTATTGAATTCGACGATAGGAAATCTGCAGAAGAAGTTGTCAAGAAAGAATTGAAATATAAAGATGAAAAGTTGCTCATCTTGTTAAAGTAATGTTATTTGCTTAATAAATGGGTTGAATTCTGCTTTTTATATCTTATACCTAATAATGATGCCTTTAATTAGATGGGATTATTGCCATATGAAAATAAACGAAAAAGGTCTTCCCCCAAACACCATGCGACATCAATGCGAAAAACAATTCTATACAAAAAAGCGTAAACGTTTATTGGTGAATATCGGTTCTCGAAAGAACAGACAAAAGATAAAAACTACGGATCGCAACAGATGGACACGTTCTCCTAAAATCGATGACAAACAAAATCGCAATAGTGATGATAATATTCACATAGAAAATAAGGTCGAGGTTGGGGACGATCATAATGAATTTGGAGTGACTATTCCACCAAAAATATATTCTACTGTAAAGTTTGAAGGGGTGGGTAAAGATATGACATGGGATGGCATACGGAACATTTTGAGAGTAATTATCTATTTTAATTAATATTATCTATTTCGATTAATTAATTCATTAGTTGAAAAGGAATCAATATTACGACTAATAGATTCTTCTATGTTCTTATATTCAGCCAAAAATCGAATCGTTAGGGGTACAATTGATTTGGGTTTATTACCCATATAAGGATGACGAACAAATAGGTGCATTTGATATTGCGATAACAAATGAAAAAGACTCTTCTTCGATAGTTGAAAGTCTTGAAGAAGATGAATCTCTGTTGTTCGAAGGTGTCAAACCCACATTAACAATTATAAAAGGTATTTTTTGTAGGTTTTATTTATTGTCATTTTTCCAGTTTGTGGGTTTTAATTCAATGTTTATATTGTTATTTATAAAAAGATGACGAATTAAGGGAATATAAGAAACTTAAACACGAAAAGTTCAACGAAATATCTGCACAACGCGAGAAAATCCTGAAAACTGTTGTAAGTTTGCCGTCAAATTCCAACAAGTATAAAAATAATCAGAATAATATAAAGAGGAAACATGATACTCGAGTTCCTAAACATCCTAAACAGTTTGACGAAAGTGGTATTCCGATCGTGGTCGCTAGTAACAATAAACGCCCAAGACTCTCATATACAAATAAAGCTCTCGTCATCAATAATGATGATCAATCATCACAAGCAACTAAAGAAGGGAACGAGACCATGGAAGGGGATAATGAGTCAAAGACAAATTAGAAAGTCGAACTTAAACAAATAATAATAATTTTTGGACACGTTACACTATAGCATAAATAAATAACAATAATGATGATGTGAGATGCTTTTAAACATTTGAAATTGATTCTTTAATTTGTTCAACAGTGATTGATTGTGCTTTCTATTTCGCCGCCTTTTAAAACGAAAACACGAAGAGACAGAAGGTAATGATGGTGGTCAACCAATAACAGTAATAAAGGCAAAAAAGTCAGATTGGTAAGCTTTTCACATTTATTTTCGATGCTGGTGATAATTAATTTTTTCTCGTTTTATTCTCCAGAGTGATTGAATTAAATTGGTTTCTTAATTTTCAAGTAGTAGATTCTTGAGGATTGTTGACAAAAGAAAATCAATCACGGAAAAGTTTTTTTCTAGTAAATAATAAAGTCAAAGTCTCGTTCTTTTAAAAGACAAGATTCTGAACATATCGATGTGTTGTGTAAATTTTGGTTTGACAAAGTGAATTTGTGACACCGTAGGCGACTCTAAAGATTGCAATCGTAGTAGTTTAAAATGAATATTTTCGCAAATACTAATGATCAAAATGGATATTCATAATTTATGAGGATGCCTTTCTTCCTCTTTTATTTGGTATTTCAAATCGTGGTTCAGGAATCCCTGGGTCTTGAAATAAGATCATCATCCTGTAGGGTCTTCTTATCGACGAATTCAAGTACTTTAGATTTTTTTTCAATTACAATCTGAAAAAGGTCACAAATCCAATAGATGCATTTAAAAACTTTAGAAAATCTAAAAGGCCAAATAATCCGAGACATCTTCTGTAACGACCCTCCCAGTAAACCAACAAAAAATCTTGTAAACTTGTAACGAAAATGAAGCGTATCAACGATCACCAGCAACTGGCTTCCTTGTTTTAATCTTACCATGTCAAAATATCCTTTAAAGTAATATTAGCATTTGGCTGCGGCCAAAATTGGCTCATCGACATTTTTTTACATTGAGGACCCGCAAACTCGGGCATAAATGTGCAATAACGTAAAAACGGACCATGTCAGCATCATCCGTGATCTCAAGAAAAATTATGCATTCCAGATTTCAGCTTTCAAGATAATAAGCCTAATGTTGAGACAGGCAGTTGCGATTACAAATACTATTCCAGGAAGTAATAGATAGATATTGTAGATTTGGACATGATTGGGAAGAAAGACATTGCAGATTTGTGCAAATTGTAATTTGGGACATGCGTGATCTTGCAATCTCTATATTTTGAGAATTGCTTCTCGAAATATTTTTTAGCCACTCTCTTTGTTAGTATGCACGTGTATCATCTATTCTCTGGCGATTAAAAAAAGTTCTACGTGGAAAACAAAAATCACTTTATTTGATGGGCCATGTTCATAAATACAGTGGCTCACATATGTAACCGAACACGAAAATTAACTTTCTAGCATTTTTATTTCCATGACTATTAGTTTGGACAAAATAAAAAAAAGT